ATATATTAAATAGTGTTAAAATTATTGTGGATATGCCGAAAGAAGATGATGGTACCATTAAAGGATGCAAATGAATGATACACTAATGTATGTAATGAGTTTTTTTGTGAAGAAAATATCCATCAAAACATAAAAAATTCACTAAAATTGTTATATGATTACATTCAACAACATTTAATTTACTTAATAATAGTGTTATTCATTTTTATTATTTATTTATTCAATGAGATAACATAGCTTAAAGAGATAGTGGAGAAAATAGTGCAACCATAAAAAAAAAGATTAATTAATAAAAGGAGATGTTTTATGAGGGAGACATTTATTGTTATTATACCACTTGCAAAAGATATTGGTATATTATTTATTGTTGTGCTAATATTTAAATAAGTGATGTTTTTCACATATATGTTTAAATTTTATAATTTATAGGTGATAATTTATTGAGTCCTCTATCCCCCTCTTTTGATACTCTTGGGGCTTTCCACTCTCAATGTGATTATCATAGTGAAGTGGAGTAACGATTATAATAATTTTTATTAATTAATTTCTATTTTTTAAAGTTTCTTTTTTATTTTTGGGCTCTTCAAAGTGATTACTAAGTTTTTCTGCTAAATGGGGATGAATAATCATAATACTATATTCTTTATTAAGACCACTTTTGATGTGAATGGTGAAAAAAAACTCTAAAAGTCCTATTACCCAACTTTTAAAGTCTTAATTATAAGTAATTTAAATAATTGGAAAAAGAAGCGTGAATGAACTCATATTTCATAATATACTAATATATGGAGTTTTTGTAGGGCTAGGGGATTTGCAGTCATTATTGAAATATTTAATGCACACTTTTAAATATGATTTATATGTAAATTGAATTAAAAATAATATAAATGATGGTTTCTTGTTTTTAAAATTATTTTTTCTATCATATTTAATTAAAATGTTAAAATTAAAAGAGGGAGTGGGTATGATTGCATTTACAATTTTCATTTGACTATTTGAATAAATTATATTTTTATATACTATTGATATTAACAATTTTTTTTATCTATTTCAACATTAAACACATATAGTTTTTAACAATGAAAACACTGAAACATGAATCTTCTGGCTATGATTTGTTTCAATGCTCTCCTCATTTGTTATTTTTATGGCGTTAAAAATATTTTGCTATAGAGTAAATTTAATATGCAATGGTATTTAGGGGTATCACAAAGCTCAAATCAATAGTCAATATGCAACCAAAATCAATCTGGATAATGTTAAAATCTTTATGAATATATTAAAAAGTGTTAAAATTATTGTAAATATGCTAGAGGGAAACACTAATAGTAATGCCACAAAGTGATGCAAGTGAGTGATATATTAATGTATACAATAATTTGTTTTGTGAAGGAAATGTCTATCCAAACAAAAACATTTCACCAAAATTATTATATAATTGTATGCAACAGTAAATGTTATTTATTTCAGTGTTTAATGAGATAATATCATTGAGTTGGCTCAAAAAGGAGATAGTGTAGCCTTAAAAAAAATATAGATTAATTAATTAAAGGAAAAATAATCATTTGATGACTTATGAAAAAAAAAATTGTTGTTATTATGCCACTTGTAGAATATCATAGTGTGTTTTTTATTACAACTTATGGTAGCAATATTTAGGTAAATGATGCTTTCACATGATGTTCAAACTTTGGGATTTACAAATGATATTGCAATAAAATAAAATTGCAAAATAAAAAATTTATCTTCCTTTTTGTAATATAGTGTTGACATTAGTTCTTGTATTAACAAATATAATATTTAAATAACGTACAAAAGCATTTACCCATCATATATTAGCACTCATATCAATTTGATTGAAGAAATTAGATAAGACAAAATAGTTAAGATATATAAAAACTCAATAGTTGAATAATAAGATATAAATAAAAACTCAATAGTTGAATTCCAAGAACTAACTGAACTTAAAAATTTAAGTATTTCAAGCTTATATGGAATATTGCAAGGGATCATGCAGCTTTTAGAATAAAAAAACCTAATTTTTAAAAAAAGAAAGAAACAGTAAAACAAGAATATAAAATATATATTGGTTTAACAAAACACATCTTATTGTAGAAAAAATTATTTTAAAAACAAAAAACCACCATTTATATCATTTTCAACTCAATGTATATGCAAATTCAGATTTAAGAGTGTGTATTTAGCATTGTAATAGTGAATGCCCTAGGGTTTACAAACCCTAGCCCTTATATATTAATACAAGATCTCTATAATTAAGGGTTGACAAATAAGACTATTAAATTGTGGTAGCATTTTACCTATTTATTGTGACTTAGTCTTTATGTTTTCACCATCTACATCACAAGAAAATTGCCCAAATGGTCTTTATTGTCAAAGAAATTGCACCCTGGCTGGGGTTTTATAAAGGATTTCCTGGATTATGCAAAAATTGGGCCAAAATTCTTTGCAATTCAATATTTTCAATTTGTTTTGTTCACTCACCATATATATTCAGTGGGATATATTATTGAAGGTAATATTACACTATCATAAAATATTATTCCATTATTGAAATTTGTTGATTGAGCCACGATCATCAAGTATAGCCCTCCACCAAAGCTTTTCCCCATGACACTAACATACGAGGAACCTTTGCATTGCATTCTGGAACAAAGTTGAGGCCATGGAAATTCGGAGTCACAAAACGATGGAAAGCAGCATCCACAGCTTACAATTGGACTATTACAAGGGATGTGCTGTGAAGAAGACTTATTACCTCATAAAAGTAAGGATAGTGGCGCTTTATGGCGCTGAGATATGGGGCCAGGCCTGCTAGCGAAGGAGTAGGACAAAGTCGAGGCTGTGCAACGAAGTTTCATTTGGGAAGAATTCAGCATCAACCTTGTGCCATATGTGATCATGGAGACAGGCCTCTTTTCCCTAGAAATACTCGCACGATCATCTACATCTGAAAGAGCAGAAGTTGGCAGTCACAGGACAGACAGGCGGCTGGTGGCATGACATGAAACAGGACCAAAAGACTCGGTCTGAATCTCAACATCACAGAACGATTCCATGAAGATCTTGAATTCTGGACACACATCGTGCTAATAAGATGGATCCAAGCCCAGAAGAACAGCTCTATGTGGAGGAGATCAACCCAAACGAACAGGTGGGAACGGCTGTTTATGATCAGCTCTTTCCCTAGCGACAGAAACTCCTTGCACGTTACAGAACAGGTGATCATAGACTACTCGTGGAACTAGGACGAAGAACAAGACCAGCAAAGATTCCGCGACATCTACAGGTTTGCCCAGTGTGTGGCATGTCCATCGAGACAGTAACACATACGGTCAAGGAATGCTCAGGATACGATGAGTTCCGACTCAGGCCGATCCAATGGGATATGCCTGTAGCTAACATCCTTGGGACACCTGAAAACGCAGCGGAGATAACCAGGTTCCTGGAATAGATGGAGGTCCAGAGGCAAACACTTGTCAATGCAAGCATACACGTGTTGTTGGAGCTGGAAAATGAAAGGAAACAACAGAACAGATGACACCAAACTTGCAGGGCCATACTCCAATCACCACAAACAAGCAACACAACAGATGGGAGTGGGAACAATGATAAATGGGCAACAATCCGCGGCAGAAGAGGCAGCAAGCTCCCAGCAGCGACATCCAGATCACCATGTCTGGAAGGAATGGCATCGAGTTGATGAGCTCCTTCGCACTCAGAGTTCTTCATGCAGCAATAGCGTTCTCTCCTCGGCACCATCTCAAAGTCTCGGTTGATTGAGACGAAGTGCTCCCAGCCCTTGGCAATGGCTGCACGAAGTTAAAACGCTCCGGAACGTCACCTTGTCCAGCTTGACGCCCTCGAGATTCATAAGATGGAAGACTTCCACTGCTCGATCGTAGTGCCCGTCGTCCCAAGCTGAGCATCTTCATGCTCTTAATCACACTCCTGGCGGTGCCGAGATCGCCCAAATTGACGTAAACTTGCATGAGAGCTGTCCAGCAGACGATGGTCTTGTGCGGGATCTCGTGGAAGAACCTCACCGCCCCGTCAAAGTGCCCATTCTCGGCATACGCGAGAAGCAGCTCCACGAGACTAGATTCTTCTCCAACACTTGATCAAAGATGTTCTTCGTCCTTGGTGGCAGTAAGCCTGCACCATCACCGTCCATGCCACCACGTCCTGATCCGGCATGGAATCAAAGATCTCTCTTGCGTTGGCAAAATCTCCTCTTTGGGTATTCTCGTAGTTCTTGCCACTGCGTTGGTGAAGGGGAGCCGATGGAACGCCCTGTCCAATTTTTCCAGGAATCATTCTGCGCGTAGCACAGCAGTAGATTCGTCCACGACACGGCCGGCATTCTATCAAAGATCGATTTTGCTGCCTCGTTTTGCCCCTGCGCGAGCGCAGTGATCATTGAGTTCCATATCACGGCCTGGCGCTCTGGAACACGATCGATCATCGCCTTACAGTGGATGCTGCCACATATCCAGCGATCATCGAGTTCCACGAGACAAGATCACGAAACTCCATCCCGTCAAACGTGTCTTGGCAAGCTCAAGTTGCCCGAACTGGGCATACAGCGTAATAGGCGATTTCCAAGAGACGATGTCATGATCCGCCATGGAATTGAAGATCCTCTTGTCCTGGCCGATATTGGAGCTCCGGATATAAGATTTCACGACCACGTTACACGAGATTCCAGTGGGGCATTCGATCAAAGAGGTTAATTTAAAATATTAAAACAATATATAAGCATTTCAGAGAATTACAGTTTTAATACAATTTAAATTATTTTTCTAATTTGAAAAAATATTTCGCATTAAATAAATAATTGAAATGTTTTAAATTATAAATTCATATAGCTAGCTTATACTGAATAAGGGTTTTTCCAGAAATTCTCTGTTTTCTTCTGCTTAAAATCATGATATTGCTGCAAACAGGAAAATAAGAGTAAATCTAGGATTTAGGGCTTTTGGGATTGAGCGGCGGGCACGGTGGACGAAAATCTCGGGGATACAGGTATGTTTTTCTCGTCCTCTCTGAGAATGTGAAATGCGACAATCCACAGGACACGGCATCTTCCAAGATTCATTTGAGCGCTCTGCTTCTGGCGTGGATACATGTCTACCCGGCCTACCACTTTCGTTTCTCAAGTCATACAACTCTGCTTATGTTTTTCTTTGGCAGGCTTCGCGTCTCTGCCCGAGCTCTTGAGCGAGTTTGAAGACATTTGCCGGGATCTAGCGCAGGCAGTCACAGGTGAAACAATTTTCTGGGAACGACTGGAACTCAGCAGCTTTTTCTTTACAGAGACGAGGCAACTACGAAGCATCGAGCTATAGAAGACAGAGCTCTACTTCAGTCATGCGCACTTCCATTTGTATGGAAAAGGTAGCGTCGCTTATTAAGTTTCAACGGGTCTGACTTTACTGTTTCTTAGAGGATATCACGGAAGACAATCAGGTATTTCCTATGTTCTCTTCCTTTTGTGGTTTCACCTAAGAAAAATGTTTGGCAGAAAGCAACCACGCGTTTATAAGAACCGGTGCGACTGCTCAAACATGCCCTCGTCTTGTCTCGCGAGTCTGGCGTCCAAGGAATTGGATTTAGAAAAGAAGGTGATGCTCTTCCGTTGAGTATATGCATGCAAATGTTATCGTTATAGAGGAAGGGATAGGGTGCGGGCTTAGAGGCTAGGCTTGTGGGATCAAACAAAACGGGCTATCAAAAAAATATTGGAACTCACTCTGTTCGACATTGGTGCTCCAACTCGAGAAGGCTTACAGTTGCATCCAGAAGATCAGGTACTACGCTCTTACTGGTCCTCTTCTTACATGTATCATATTTATCGCAGAAACTGGAAGATAGTCTTTTGGAAGATGCGTGGAAGCTCATCCGAGCTGGAAGAAAAGGAGAAGCGCAGGACCCGTGTCCAACAGGGATTGCTCTTCGTTGCTCAGGTACATGAAAACGTTTCTAGACATCTTACTTCCCTGTCTCACACTGGAAACATACGGACAGGACATTCTCTGCAATGTATGTGCAATGTATGTGCTTTACTCCTCAAGCAGGTCATGATCATTAATTACTGCTGTCGATTTTTTGTTGTTCTTGGCAGTAAGAAGTCCATAGCGAGAATTAACGTCACTATGGCGTAGACATTCCGGGAGGTGTGGAAGCACTTTTGGGACACCTGAAGCAGTCATTAAATGAAGCAGCAGACTGAACTTCTGCAGATATCTGAAATGAAGACTTTTTTTATTAGACACATTAAGATACTGTACTTTGGTGCCTGTGCCTCAAAGTTTGTGTTGATTTAACTGGATAACATATTGTGTTTGCCTTCGCATCCAGCAACTTTCTGTTCTTTACTCCTCAGGCCACCAGATTCGGAGCTAATGAGATAGAGCTACACAGGTATATCTTTCATGAAAGACAATACTGATCTTGATTTTTCTCGTCCTCGTGCAATAGCATTTTGTCCACGTCGTGGCGGACAAAAAGGCCGGATCTCTCTCGCTTTTTGGATGCTTAGCAACAGCAGCTCTGTACTTCTGCAGTACTGCCCGAGAACTGCAACTACCAAGATTTTTCTTGATTGGGTACGTTGCTGCCTGCCTCTCAATTCTTCACATTCATCGAAACTTCGTTCTTTTAACACACACTATCAACAAATGAAAACTCCAGCTACATGAAGAACAAGCAAAGGTCTTTTGCTGCAGAAAAATAAGCTCTGGAGCAAATGGCAAATGCTAGTGTGGATTTGCTTGATGGAGTGGAGGTTTCTTGCAGATTGGATGAGCTGCAAACACTCGCGCTGATCGAGTGTGTTTCTTCACAGAAACATACACGCAGTTCCTAGGTTACACAGCATTTCCTAGGTATCGCAGGATGGGGGTTTTAGCAAAGACGCTCCTCCTCTCGCTTGTGGCCATGGCTAGTTTCTACCTAGATTCTCTCCTGGATTCTCTCTCGCCTGTGGATCTGGATGTGTTTGCCCATGAGGCCAGATCTAGCGTCAGCGATGACAAGATCACATCTTCGCGGTGGTTCCTTCTTGGTCTTGCTGCATCAGGATTTACGTTTCTCTCGTCTTCTGTGATCGTTTTGTCCAGCTGGGTTGAGAGCACGGCTGCGTGCCAGACAACTAGCTGTGGAGAGCTGCATTGCGAGGGCAACAGCTCAGGCAAGGAACATTCTGAGGAGGCGCAAGCCTGGCACAACGGCGGCCACGAATGAGGAGCTAGAGACGGGGGCCATAGCTGGAGGATTGGTGGCAGTGGAGATGGATCAGGCCGCAACAGCACAGTCCCAAGCGGAGGTAATCCCTGCCAGCCCTTCACAATCTCAGAGGGCACTTGCACTGCTTACTTCCTTCTTGTCTCTGGCAAATGCCATCTCGATGTGTCAAAAGTGGACGCAAGACGGGCACGATCTAACTCTCATTGCCACCGCGATCTGTGCCGCATCGGCCTTTTGTTTCCTGCATTCATTCCTGGTCGGGCTTGGACACATCGAGAAGCAGCGGAGGAAAGGGTGTATGACGATACTGCTCACAGCTCTCATCCCGTTCTTCTACCCTCTCATGGGCATCGCATGTCGTCGTTTGAAGGGAAAGAAGGGCTGGGCCACAGCAGCTGTTTACACGGTCTCAGCTGTAGTTCCTTTCGTGATGAGGGTGATATGTCTCCTCCCGTTCACTCATGAGGCCTCCACGGTGATAGCTTCTGCTTGCTCGTTGCTCTCTGGAGTTGCGTGGTTGGTTTTTAGCTCCATCGTTGAGTACCAAATTCTCCATATCGTGGGAGCTTGTTTGGCTGTTGCAGTTCAGGCCATCTACTTTGTAAGCTTCGTTTCAAAGTGCTATGGAGGTGAGCAAATCTGAAAGTTCTCTTGTTTCTATATCGCGATCTTTGAATTCACAGGCCTGTGCGCACTGTGTTGAACGAAGGAACACCGAAGGGACAATCAACCATGCGTTAAAAGAACTAAAAGACAATTCCAGTGGAAACAAGGCGTCACTGGATGATCGTTTTTCGTTGCGAGTGCAGAGTACTGGTTTAACGTTTGATTCGCTGCCTACATCACAAAGTGGCCAGCAAGAAGTAGTCTCTGATCTTTTCTTGTGGCTTCATCTGAAAATTTTCCATCCCGAACTTGCTTGCTGTAACACAGAAATATCAAGCATAGCGCACCTGGTTGAGAGCACCATGCTTCCATACCACTGAAGCGTGTATCCTATTAGCATGAACTTAGAACTTCCTTACCAGCAAGAAAAAACTCCCCATCCTGAAAAGGAAAACCACTGTCCAAGTTCCACGAAAACCAGCTTACTTGAATCACTTTGACAGCTCGGCAAGTGCCTGTAGTCATCAATTCACATTAGAGGAGTTTCAAAGGCTAATTTGCTTACTTGAGTGAAATCGAGAGATGTCCTGAGATTAAATAAACAAGGTGGAAGACTCTGGTGCATCGTCCTCGTCCGAACGAGCAGGTCAAGATGAGGAAAAAAGATGAACACTAAAAAAGACCAAATGCAGCTTAATCGAAGCGTCGGCTCTTCCTGTTACGACGTGACGGCCGAATCGAAGCGGCATTCTGTAAGTAAGAAATGAGAACTCGCCAACAAAGTAGTGCGCTAATCAGACTCACCTTTCATGTCCGTGCGTACCTTTCACAAGATGATGTGATCGTCTTGAAAGAGCTCTAAAGCATTTATCAAGAGAATATGATCAAATGACTTTGACTTTGACTTGACTTTGACTTGCGTGATGATGTACAAACGAAAATGACAAATCGTCCAAGCGCTACTCTGGTGACAATGTCAGCTATGCCCGGAATCGTGTTTTAATATGCCTTTGCTCTGGTTCCAGGTTCCTTCTCGCAACACTGGTTAAGCTCCTCATAATAAACTGTCAGTGTTGTGGAAATCAAGAGAAAAAAGAATAGCTTACCCGGATCGGTACATAACAACAACCAATAATGTCAAGTTAGATTCACCTAAACCACGGCACTGTCTCAAGACTGCGGGTCAAATTATACCTTTTGCTCTTGGCGAAGCGTATTAGAGTCTGATAAAAGAAGTGATCACTGTAGTCATAGAGAAGCTCAAGTCAAAACTTATCACCCATAATTTCCTTCATGCGGGAGAGGATACTATAAGCTTCTCGAACTTGTGATCCATTTCGGCATCCATGAAACCCTCCACTAGAATAGACGACAACAAAGATCATCTCACGAGAAAGAGAAAAAAAAAAGCAAAACTCCTTACTGGGATCCCGAGCTTGGTCGTGTCATGCCACGCAATGTCCGATCTCCGAGCGCAGCACCTGTCTCAGCATTTGACGTCCCAGGGACGTGTGAAGAAGGATTCGTGCAAACGACGGTACGACCTCTCTTCTCAAGCTCAGTCCCATCGTCTTAAGTCGGGAAAAGAGAAAAAGACCAACCTTGTCTTGGACGCCTTGGCCTCCTTTGACACTGGATTCAAAGCCATCATCAATACCTCTGGATCTACAATAAGCACAGAAAATTAAATTTCATACCATGCTCTTGCTTTTCGAAGTCGAATCTCAACTGCGAAAAAGATCAAGTCTACCTCGTACAAGACTTCTGCAGTCTTAGCTCCGAGGTCTGCAGAGAAGACATGCTGCCACAGTATCGTCAGAAACTTAGACGGCTGTCTACAGAAAACAAGAAAAGAAACAGCCTCACAGTTACAGATAGAAACTGCTCCCTTACTTCTGGCATCGAGAAAAAAAGAGTCACGAGTACAAAAATGAAAAAAACTGGAAGGAATGGACGGAAAAATTCCAAGAAGTAAGCTCAAGCACCCGGATATTGAGCTGCTCCAACGTTCCAATCACATAGCTACTAAATCGAAAACAGCCAAGATCAGCCACCGATTCTCCATAAATAAAGCTAGATTGGAAAAGGATTTAGAGACCATTCGAGAGGCGATGTGCGCACCAGTATTGCTCAATCTGCGGCGCCATACCTTTCGAGACTGGCCGAGCCGAAACCCTAACCCTACAAAAAGTTCGCGCTTCTTTTGGAAAAACCGAGATCTTTTTTGAAAAGTTATAGACAATTTCCAAAAGGAGGATTATGCCGAAAACCCTATAAATAGATCTTAGATTATATCCCTTTAATAAGGATGGCAAACTTCTGGTGGTATTTCGTTCTTATTTCAATTTTCTCGACTTGGGCAATTAGCTTTTATGTATACACCATAGTTATCACTCTTTACCCTCCAAAATGGGATTGCCCACACGGTGTTTCTCATTGCAAAAAGAGCTGTAATGCACTACATCCTAATTATCATTGGGATTTCTATTCCTGCTACATCGGAGCTGCGAGGATTGGGCTAAATTATTCTGCAATTCGATATTGGCAACTTCCTTGCTTCATTCCACATCTATATACTTTGCTATCACTGGGCTATGTGGCTGGAGGTAAGCTAGATTTATTTAAGAATACACTTAACAATTTATTTCAGTTGCCATGGGATTTGCTACACGCTTCCAATACAAGTTATGTATGTTGGTTAGCTTTGTTATTGGAGGAGCTAGTGCGCTTACAAGCACATATGTTTCACATCGGTCATGGTTTATTGCTGTACAAGTGATCTCTGCGGTAGCACATTCCTACGCAGGGACATCATCAGCTATAAGGTGGTGCATAGAGATAAAGAAGCGCAGTGAAGAACCATATCAAAGAACTTATGCCATATCGTTAGTGGCTATATTCATTGAATTACTCTTTCTACCCTTGGTCCCAATATGTATTCATATGTATTCTGACTGGAGGTGGGGAAATAGGCTGATATTTATTATGGACTCATTTCTTACCATGATGCTGGTGGTGGAAATGGTGGTATTAATTATAGTTAATATTAGAAGTAACAATGGAAGAATAGCTAATGAATTGTAACATAGTAAATTCTGTTTGTAAATATTTTAGAATCTACAATTAGTGGATATATTAACTGAAGTTTGTGGAAAATCAATCCTATCTTGCACCTAGCTCAATCCATTGCAGTATGGGAAGTTTGGAAGATAAGCTGAGAAATGATGTGTGGTTGATTTTTAGCTGGATTGTCTAGTTTCAGCTCTTACATCTCATTGGAGCATTTCTAGCTATCACAGTTCAACTACTTTGCTTCACAAGCTTTTCCAAAATAGTCTTTACCTGCTATGGAGGTGAGCAAAAATTTGAAGTTTCTCTTTAAACTATGAACAGAGTTTGAGCTTCATTAGCACAAGAGCTTCATTAGTTTGAGAGGCTAATTTCTTTACTTGATAGTCCTGCCCTTAGCACTTGAATATGAGCTTCAGGAATCGTGAACAGGCTGCGTCAAGTAAGAAAGAACAAAATTGAGGGAAGACTTGCATGCAAATAACCAAAAACGTCCTAATGGCCTGTGTAATTGATCTTACTTCTGAGAGCATCAATTATCGTCCTTTCAACCTTCATAACAGAACAAGGAAGAAATATCTGAAAAAAGACAGAAAAAAGATTAGCACTAACTTGAATTGAATTGAATATTCTGTTTTGGTAGTCATGGGGTGCCCAACAAGAAACATGAGACTGTGCAAACAAGTTTGTAAGTTTGTTGTCAGGGTCTTCTCGCTCCCTCCATCCCGCACTCACATTCCTCCATCTCCCTAAAGCTTATAAAAAGATCTTCTTATAAGGTTAAGGTTTATGGCAAACACCAATAATTTCATACTAATTTCATTGGAATTAGCGTTTATGTGGTGTTTCTCATTGTCAGAAGAGCTGTAATGCACTACATCCTAATTACCATTGGGGTTTTTATTCTCCTTACATCAGAACTAGAAAAATTGGGCCAAACAATCTGCAATTAGATACTGTGCTTTACTCCATATCTATATGCCATTCTATCACTTGGCTATGTCTGGAGAAGCTAGATTTATTTATGAACCTTTATAACAATTTGTTCCAGTTGCCATAGGAATCCGTTACAAGTTATGCATGTTGATTAGCTTTCTTATTGGAGAGCTACTGCGTTTACAAGCACATGTGTTTTATATCGGTGATGGTTCATTGCTTTACAAGTGATCTCTGCAGTAGCACATTCATGTGCAGACATCATCAGTTATAAGGTGGTATTTAGAGCTAAAGAAACTCAGAGAACAACCATATCCAATAACTTCTTCCATATCATTTTGGGGTATGTTCTCAGAAATAGTCTTCTTATCCTTGCTCCCAATATGTATTATGGTGGTATTAGTTATAGTTAATATTGAGGTTAGGGTAGATTTACAAGTGAATATACCTAGAATATGCATGGATATTCTAGGATACTAATGTTGTTATTAATTTAAATTAATATTGCATTTATTAATTTATAAACATGTTTATAATTTATAAAATGTTCTAAACAGTATATTCTTTTTTATTCTATCTTGTTTTTATAAATTACAAACATGTTTATTATTTATTGATCAAGTGGATTAGAAATAACAAACCAAACGTTGATGCACTGGAAATTATTATAAATTCTCTATATAATATCTAAAATTATTGCAATAGTTCAAATGTTGAGCAACAGCCTTATAAGCACTCATACATTTGCAACACAAACAAACCTTAGAGGCTATCATCACGTTTGATTTCTTGCTGAAACATGAGCACTGTCAATCGCCCTGATACACTGCACCATCTTTGCTTGCTGTCTTTGTACTTCGAGAAAAATTGTCAAGCATAGTGGAAATAGCACTAAAGTATGTTTGAGTCATAAAGATGGTGTGTTCCTTGTAGCGGAAATATGGAACTTCCACAGAATGTTTACTACCAAGAGAAAACTCCCCAAGCAAATTGATCTGCGCCATGTGTCCTAACGTCTAAAGCGCGCTCGTTAAATGAGGTGAGCATGCAGTCATGCAGCCAGCTTTCCACGCCTGAGAATGAAAGATAGCTGTGTCACTAATTCAATACAAGAGAACCACCAGGAGCTTGGATTTGAGTAGTGCGGTATCTTGGATTCTTTCCTCTAGTATCACAAGAAACACGAAAAAGTTTTAGAGCACTTCTTGCTGAAGACGTCTATAAACGTTTTCATGTACCTAATCCCTGTTGGACTCAGGTCCTGCGCTTCTGTTTTTCTTCCAGCTTTCCAAAAGACCATCTTCCAGTTTCTGTGATAAATATGATACATGTAAGAAGAGGACCAGTAAGAGCGTAGTACCTGATCTTCAGGATGCAACTGTAAGCCTTCTCGAGTTGGAGCATCAGGATCCAAATGTAGAACATAGTGAGTTCTGATATTTGATCTTGATTGCATGTTTTGTTTAGCTTCTGAGTGTAGGAATCCACATCCCATGCCTTCCTCAGTAAGGATAACATTTGTAGACACGCATATACTCAAATGACCACCTTTTCTAAATCCAATTCCTTGGACCCCGAAGACATGTTTGAGCAGTCCTATCATTTCTTACAAACTCAGACTACCTGATTGTCTTCCATTCTATCCTCTAAGAAACACTGCTACCTTTTCCACACAAATGCCACAGAAGTGCCCATGATGAAGCCTCGGAATGTAGCAATTGAGCTCTTTTGGCATAGAACCCTGTCTTGTACAGCTCGATGCTTCGTGTCTGTAAGGAAACAAGCAAGCTCGGAGGGACTTGGGCAAGGAAGCCAAAATCAAAGAAAAAAGAAAGCCAATGACCTCAATACTATCAACTGCGTTGGTGAGAGCTTTCATGCAAATCGGGAATTTGGTGGAGGCTCGAGGTGTCTTTGAGACAATGGTAACGAGGGACTTGGATTCGTGGACAACAATAGTGTCGGGCTATGCCTTGTAGAAGAGGCCGAGAGGATGTTTTCCCCCAGTAGAATCTCGTGCCTTGGAATGGGCTGATGGAAAACGGCATCCCGGACAGAGCGAAGCTGCTGTTTGATCGAATGCCACAGTTGCCTACATCAATCGCTGCCGCCTATGCCCAGGACGGGCATGTCGATGGCGATCCACCACCAAATGCCCACAAGGGACTTGATATGCTTGTCGCAATGCTCGGCCAGGCCGGGAGAATGGAGGACGCCCTCAAGATCCGGCAGCAAATGTCGAAATGGAACGTTTTCACCTGGAACGCGATCCTCTCCGGCTATGCGGGAGATATCCACTCTCGTGGGCATTGCGGCGAGCACAGCTCGAGCCTCGATCACGCGGCCAACGAGGCCACGCTCGATGGTGGAGTGAGGATCGATCCTGTGTCGTTCATCACCATCCTTTCGGCTTGCAGCCATCTGGGGAAGATCCAAATCGCCCGCGATCAATGGTCGCCTATGATCGCAAGAACCAAAACTTTGGGTTCTTCCCAGAGAGCAATGTCGGGCGATCACAGGGCTAGAGAGCGGCATTTCCCGGTGGATCTTGTGAGGGCTGCTGGGCGGCCAAGGCTATGTTCTTCGATCGAATGTGCCACCACGACGTGAGGGAGGGAACCTCTTTGATCGATTGCCCCACTGGAATCTCGTGTAACGTGGTTGTGAAATCCTATATTCGGAGCTCCAATCTCGGCTAGGACAAGAAGATCTTCGATTCCATGGCGGATCATGACATGGTCTCTTGGAAATCGCCCATTACACTGTATGCCCAGTTCGGGCAACTTGAGCTTGCCAAGACACGTTTGACGGGATGGAGTTTCATGATCTTGTCTCGTGGAACTCGATGATCGCTGGATATGTGGCAGCATCCACTGTCAGGCGATGATCGATCGTGTCCCAGAGCGCCAGGCCGTGATATGGAACTCAATGATCACTGCGCTCGCGCAGGGGCAAAACGAGGCAGCAAAATCGATCTTTGATAGAATGCCGGCCGTGTCGTGGACGAATCTACTGCTGTGCTACGCGCAGAATGATTCCTGGAAAAATTGGACAGGGCGTTCCATCGGCTCCCCTTCACCAACGCAGTGGCAAGAACTACGAGAATACCCAAAGAGGAGATTTTGCAAACGCAAGAGAGATCTTTGATTCCATGCCGGATCAGGACGTGGTGGCGTGGACGGCAATGGTGCAGGCTTACTGCCACCAAGGACGAAGAACATCTTTGATCAAGTGTCGGAGAAGAATCTAGTCTCGTGGAGCTGCTTCTCGCGTATGCCGAGAATGGGCACTTTGACGGAGCCGTGAGGTTCTTCCACGAGATCCCACACAAGACCATCGTCTGCTGGACAGCTCTCATGCAAGTTTACGTCAATTTGGGCCATCTCGGCACCGCCAGGAGTGTGATTAAGAGCATGAAGATGCTCAGCTTGGGACGACGGGCACTACGATCGAGCAGTGGAAGTCTTCCATCTTATGAATCTCGAGGGCGTCACGCTGGACAAGGTGACGTTCCGGAGCGTTTTAACTTCGTGCAGCCATTGCCAAGGGCTGGGAGCACTTCGTCTCAATCAGCCGAGACTTTGAGATGGTGCCGAGGAGAGAGCGCTATTGCTGCATGAAGAACTCTGAGTGCGAAGGAGCTCATCAACTCGATGCCATTCCTTCCAGACATGGTGATCTGGATGTCGCTGCTGGGAGCTTGCTGCCTCTTCTGCCGCGGATTGTTGCCCATTTATCATTGTTCCCACTCCCATCTGTTGTGTTGCTTGTTTGTGGTGATTGGAGTATGGCCCTGCAAGTTTGGTGTCATCTGTTCTGCTGTTTCCTTTCATTTTCCAGCTCCAACAACACAAGTATGCTTTCATTGACAAGTGTTTGCCTCTGGACCTCCATCTATTCCAGGAACCTGGTTATCTCCGCTGCGTTTTCAGGTGTCCCAAGGATGTTAGCTACAGGCATATCCCATGGGATCGGCCTGAGTCGTATCCTGAGCATTCCTTGACCGTATGTGTTACTGTCTCGACGGACATGCCACACACTGGGCAAAGCTGTAGATGTCGCGGAATCTTTGCTGGTCTTGTTCTTCATCCTAGTTCCACGAGTAGTCTATGATCACCTGTTCTGTAACGTGCAAGGAGTTTCTGTCGCCAGGGAAAGAGCTGATCATAAAGAGCCGTTCCCACCTGTTCGTTTGGGTTGATCTCCTCCACGTAGAGCTTGTATTTTGTGTGGTTCTTCTGGGCTTGGATCCATCTTATTAGCACGATGTGTGTCCAGAATTCAAGATCTTCATGGAATCGTTCTGTGATGTTGAGATTCAGACCGACTCTTTTGGTCCTGTTTCATGTCATGCCACCAGCCGCCTGTCTGTCCTGTGACTGCCAACTTCTGCTCTTTCAGATGTAGATGATCGTGCGAGTATTTCTAGGGAAAAGAGGCCTGTCTCCATGATCACATATGGCACAAGGTTGATGCTGAATTCTTCCCAAATGAAACTTCGTTGCACAGCCTCGACTTTGTCCTACTCCTTCGCTAGCAGGCCTGGCCCCATATCTCAGCGCCATAAAGTGCCACTATCCTTACTTTTATGAGGTAATAAGTCTTCTTCACCTCCAAGCACATCCCTTGTAATAGTCCAATTGTAAGCTGTGGATGCTGCTTTCCATCGTTCTGTGACTCCGAATTTCCATGACCTCAACTTTGTTCCAGAATGCAATGCAAAGGTTCCTCATATGTTAGTGTCATGGGGAAAAGCTTTGGTGGAGGGCTATACTTGATGATCGTGGTCAACAAATTTCAATAATGGAATAATATTTTATGATAGTGTAATATTACCTTCGATAATATATCCCTGAGTGAATAAAACAAATTGACAATATTGAATTGCAAAGAATTTTGGCCCAATTTTTGCATAAGCCAGGAAATCCATTATAAAACCCCAGCCAAGGTGCAATCTCTTTGACAATAAAGACCATTTGGGCAATTTTCTTGTGATGTAGATGGTGAAAACATAAAGACTAAGTCACAATAAATAGGTAAAAAGCTACCACAATTTATTTGTCAACCTTTAATTATAGAGATCTTGTATTAATATATAGAGTTTTTGTAGGGCTAGGGTTTGTAAACCCTAGGGCATTAAATCTGAATTTGCATATACATTGAGTTGAAAATGATATAAATGGTGGTTTTTTATTTTAAAAATAATTGTTTCTACTATAAAATGTGTTTTGTTAAACCAATATATATTTTATATTCTTGTTTTACTGTTTCTTTCTTTTTTAAAAAATTAAGTTTTTTTTTTCTAAAAGCTACATGATCCCTTGCAATATTGGATTTAAGCTTGAAATACTTAAAATTTTCAGTTCAATTAGTTCTTGGAATTCAACTATTGAGTTTTTATTTTATTTTTTATATATCTTAACTATTTTGTCTTATTTAATTTCTTCAATCAAATTGATATGATTGCTAATATATGATGGGTAAATGTTTGTGCATGTTATTTAAATATTACATTTGTTAATACAAGAACTAATGTCAACACTATATTACAAGAAGGAAAATAAATTTTTTATTTTGCAATTTTATTTTTAATGCAATATCATTTATAAATCCCAAAGTTTGAATATCATGTGAAAGCATCCATTTACCTAAATATTGCTACCATAAGTTGTAATAGATAACACACTATTATATTATACAAGTGGCATAACAACAACAAAAATTTTTCTCATAAATCATCAAATGAATATTTCTTTTAATTAGTTAATCTATCATTTTTTTTAAGGCTATACTATCTCCTTGTTGAGCCAACTCAACGATTTTATCTCATTAAACACTGAAATAAATAACATTTATTGTTGCATACAATTATATAATAATTTTGGTGAAATGTTTTCATTTGGATAAATATTTCCTTCACAAAAATATTTATTGTATACATTAATATGTCACTCACTTACATCCCTTTGTGGCATTACTAGTAGTGTTTTGCTCTAGCATATTTACAATAATTTTAACACCTTTTAATATATTTATAAAGATTTTAACATTATCCAGATTGATTTTAGTTGCCTATTGACTATTAATTTGAGCTTTGTGATACCCCTAAATACCATTACATACTAAATCTACTCTATAACAAAATATTGTTAGCGTTATAAAAATAACAAATGAGGAGAGCATTGAAACAAATCATACCCAGAAGGTTCATGTTTCAGTGTTTTCATTGTTAAAAACTATGTGTGTTTAGTGTTGAAATAGATCAAAAAAATTGTTAATATCAATCGTATATAAAAATATAATTTACTCAAATAATCAAATGAAAATTGTAAATGCAATCATACCCACTCCCTCTTTTAATTTTAACATTTCAATTAAATATGATAGAAAAAATAATTTTAAAAACAAGAAAGCCATCATTTATATCATTTTTTAATTCAATTTACATATAAATCATATTTAAAAGTGTCCATTAAATATTGCAATAATGAGCATAAATCCCCTAGCCCTACAAAAACTCCATATATTAATATATTATGAAATATTAATTCTTTTTCTATTTATTTAAATTATTTATAATTAAGACTTCAAAAGTTGGGTAATAGGACTTTTAGATTTTTTTTCACCATTCACATCAAAAGTGGTCTTAACAAAGAATATAGTATTATGATTCTTCATCCTCATTTAGCAAAAAACTTGGCAATCACTTTGAAGAGCCGAAAAACAAAAAAGAAACTTTAAAAAGTAATAATTAAGTGGTAAAAATTATTATAATCACTACTCCACTTCACTATAATAATCGCATTGAGAGTGGAAAGCCCTAAGAGTATTAAAAGTGGGGGATAAAGGATTCATTAAATTATCACTTATAAATCGTAAAATTTAAATATATATGTGAAGAGTATCACTTCCTTAAACATTGCCACTATCAATAACAATAAATAATATATCACTATTTTTTGCGAGTGGTATAACAACAATAAATGTTTCCCTCATAAAATATTTCTCTTTATTAATTAATCTTTTTTTTTATGGTTGCACTATCTTCTTCACTATCTTTTTGAGCCATGTTATCTCATTGAGTAATTAAATAATAAAAATGAATAACACTATTATTAAGTAAATTAAATGTTGTTGAATGTAATCATATAACAATTTTAGTGAATTTTTTATGTTTTGATGGATATTTTTTTCACAAAAAAACTCAGCGATCATCGGTAGATATCGCTGACATATATTAGTGTATCATTTATTTGCATCTTTTAGTGGCACCATCATCTCCCTTCAGCACATCCACAATAATTTTAACACTATTTAATATATTCATAATGATTTTCTCCTAAAAATCCAAGAATAAAATTGAATTCATCTTTAGAGAAAACTATTATTCATCTTTACAAGTATTTTAATTAATTTTTTTCATTTTTTCTTTTAATAACTTGATTGAATACATTTAGTACTAGATATGAGTTTGATATATGTAAGTTTTAAAATTCAAATAGTTCTTGGTTTATCCTTCAAGTTTTTAATTATATATATATAAACAACACTTTTATATATAGTTTAGTTCTGAATCTGAATCTGAATCATAAATCTGAATGGTATGATAAATTTTTCCAAAGATGATTTCAACCTTAATTTTGCAAGAAAGTACTATAAAAGTACTTATAAAAATTAGTAATAACAACAATTCATAAACTTATAACTAAAGTTAACTTATGTTTTGCAATCAATCCAGGCCAGATACTTAAATAAAGTTGGAACTTTCTCATTGTCATCCTTGAAGCACAATTGATTCATCTTCAACTTGGCTTAAACTTGCTATTGTCTTATAATTTTATTAATAATTTGTAAAACTCTACTTTTGTTTTATATCTTGTTTCATCATAAATTGAATTATGAACTTATATAATCTAGTTTCTTATTTACTATATATTATTATTATTTTGTGTTAGATTGATATAACTGGAAATGTGGATTTTTCTTAGTTGAAACACATTTAGGAGATGGACTATGCAATGTCATAAAAGTTATTACTATTGCATTTGCAAATGTACTTTTCTTCATTATCTTCTTTTTAGAAAGTAGCTCTAATGTTATCTCTAGTTTAGGAGTGATAGAAACTAGCTAGACAAAATGTCTTCAATCCCAATGCCAAGTTTTGGCTGTGAGTAATTGCAAAATAGAGTGGAATCTGTGCTATCAACTATCCAACTGCGTCAAGCATTTCTTCCCATGGTCTTTGCATGAAATGCTCCTATCAAGTCTTCAATTTTTTTCTAGCTCCATGTACACCATGCTCGTATGCATGCCTAACCTGAGAGCTAGCAAGACGAACAAGAATAAGAAAAGTATTAATACTCATAAGTAATTCTCAAAGCAATTGTATCCAGTGTCTGGATTCACAAGAAAGTTATAAGAGTTTCTAGCAATAATTCTTTTACCTGCAATTGGTGACTGGAGGATGCATCCATCCTCCTCCATTTCCGGGAATTATTAGGTGCTGTATTCTGGTTAGTATTTTATTGGAGCGGTTAGTGCATTAGCAAACACATATGTCCCAAATCGCTCATGGTTTATCATTTGGCAAGTTTTGGCGTGCCCTGGCCTTTTCCAAATCATGGGGGGATATCACAACGATATATGTGAGCTGATTGGTTGGATCCTATGCTTTCTTTATGCGACTATGATTTGGGTGTATATCCAGACTGGAGGTGGGGAAACAAGATGGTTTGTTCTCTCCACAAGACTCTATTGTTGTTGTGGAAGTGCTAAGCACAGGTTGTAGAGAGTAGCAAATGTTTCCACAATGCAATGAGCAATTGAAAGCGCTAAGATTTTCATATCATCCAATCAAGAGAACTTTGGGCTAGAGAATTCACGTAAGTTTATCAAATTAGCACTTTGAGTTTCTCAAAGACAATGTTTGTCTTCGTTTTTCGTATATTCACACTTTCCTGCACTCAATTGAATGCCAAAATCGAACCCGCAATTTCCAAAGAGGAATATACCTCAAATAAATAAACTAAAGAGATTGGCCAAACAAACAATTTGAAAAAGCTCTAGAAACTGCGCAAGTGTCGCTTTGAGGATCCAAAAACACAGAATTTTGGTCCTGTACAAGCGAATCGATTTGCTTTCTGAGGGTTAACTTAAGAAAGTGCGGACTGATGTCCCTCAAAAGAAAAAGAGAAAAAAGGCATTTGAAACACATAAAATCTTACGGGTGTGGAAGCTTGACAATAAGCACAGGGCATTCAGCGTGCTGCGCAGCATAGTCACTCACGCTTCCCAGGAACGTCCTGTCCAAATCCACGGTTTGAGGAATGTAAACTAGCGAACCTTTTCACCATTCCAAGGCCTCGGCTTCCCAGTATTAACATTGTTGGAGGGAACTCGTTGACAGCTTCTAGCAGCTTTTCTCGGGCATCCCCTTTCTTGGATACAATCAGTTTTGTAGAAAAAGAAATCATGAGCTAGTCAAAAGTTTATCACAAAGTACCTTAACGGGACTCACTCAACGCTATTTTCTGGAACACCTTGTTTGGAAACACAAACACAAGTTCAAGTCCATACCTCGGAAGCACAAAAGCAAGCCCACTTCCATATCCTCCTTCCTCCATCAAGCTCTGTAGCGTCTAAAGCGCGCTCGTTGAATGAGCAGTCATGCAGCCAGCTCTCCACGCCTGATAATGAAAGATAGCTGTGTCATTAATTCAAGAAAATAAGCAACTGGTTTTTGCTCGGGAATCACCAGGAGCTTGGATTTGAGCAGTGCGAGTGCTTTATCTTGTTTTGAAGTTGGCTTCTCTCCTCTAGTATCACAAGACAAACGAAGAAAGTTTTAGAACACTGCTTGCTTAAGATGTCTAGAAACATTTGTTTCATGTACCTGAGCAACGAAGAGCAATCCCTGTTGGACACAGGTCCTGCGCCTCTGCGTTTCTTCCAGCTCGGATGAGATTCCGCACATCTCTCAAAGATTATGTTCCAGTTTCTGCGATAAATACGATACACGTAAGAAGAGGACCCGTAAGAGCGTAGTACCTGATCTTCGGGATGCAACCTGGAGTTGGAGCATCAAGATCCAAATGTCGAACATAGTGAGTTCCGATATTTTTTTTTATAGCCCGTGTTATCGCACGAGCCTAGCTTCTGAGTGTATAGGCCCGCCTTCCTGTAGCGATAACATTTGTAAACACGAATATACTCCATGCAAGAGTTTTACCTTCTTTTCTAAATTCAATTCCTTTAGACGCCAGACTCTCGAGACAAGACAAAGACAAGTCTGATCGTTTCTTGTAAACCCGGACTGCGCTTTCAAAAAACAATAAAGTCAGTCCCGTTGAAACGTAATAAGCGATGCTACCTTTTCCATACAAATGCCAATGAAGAACCCATGGTGAAGACTCGGAAGTTTGCAATTGAGCCTTCTGACGGGGCCCTGTCTTTTACAGCTCGATGCTTCTCAGCTGCCTCGTCTCCGTAAAGAAAAAGCCGCTCAACTTCCAGTCGTCCTCAACAAATCGTTTCACCTGACTGCCTCCGCTAGAAGCCTGTCAAAGAAAAACGTAAGTCGAGTTGTATAGCTTGAGAAACAAAATTGGTAAACCGGGTAACACCAGAAGCAAAGCGCTCAAATGAATCTTCTCCAGCGTATCTGGTTCCTAGAGACCAGATACGGGTGAAAAGAGAGAACTTAGCACCAAAAACCAAAACCACACCTCTTCGATTCGTGGAGCAGCAAATGGGGACTCTTGGGCTCTTCAGGAAAGCTAGGAATCTTTGGCTCGGGACGCATTTCACCAGCATTCTCACAGGAAGAAGAGAGAACGAGAAAAACATACCTGTCTCGCCCGCAATGCCACCAAAAACCCTCTTTACAAGTAAAACTCTCATGGTTTTGAGCGTCTGGTTAGTTAAGCCAGTAAGAGCGCGTCTGGTTAGGCTAACAAGAGCTGTTAGCGGCCGGATCGGAATGTCCACCTCCAACTTTACGATCCACTGCCGTTCAAACGCACTTCCACAAATCAAATAATTAATAAGTTCCGCTATTTTACTGTTACGTTTGAAGGGCAACAATAAATAATTTATATAATCAAACAGGGCAAAACATCTTTTCTGGGCTTATAAGCTAAATCAAACTTTTTTCTTGGGATTGGAACTCGGAGCAAGATGCTTGCTATTAGAATTACTTTAGAAGCTCTTGTCTATACACTTATCTACATGTAAGCAGCTATAAAATTACAATTAACTGGAATTGTCACTAGAAATAATCAAGTTTATAAATCTACGCATAAATTATAAATCTAATTATAATACGCCGAGGTCTTAGTTCATCCCGGCTCTTCGATCGATATACTCAGTCCGGGCATCTTGCGCTCGCCAAGAACACGTTTGATGGGATGGCGTTCCGCGATCTTGTCTCGTATATTTGGCAGCCTCCCGGATCCGCGACTGCCAGGCTATGTTCGATCGCGTCTCAGAGTGACACGGAACTCGATGATCACGGAGCTCGCGCACCAGGGAGAATGCCGGCCAAGGATCTCGTGTCATGGACGAATCTACTGCTGTGCTATGCCCAGAATGGATTCCTGGAAGACTCAGACAGGGCTCGCCAACGCAGTGGGATTTGGCCACCTTATTTGTGTTTTAAACTACAATAATATCAGGCTCACTGGAAAAAGTGGCAAGGATTTTCCCCATGCCCCCCTCGCACTCTGACAGTACTGCAAATCCTTTACAAACTTTTGCATCAACCACATAATATTACACAAAAGAAGCCATATTTCTTTCTTAATCGGAAACATTTGCTACTCTCCCACTGCCTCTTTTTTTCATCAGAACCCGTGCTACCATTTCCCCTATTAACACCACAACAACAATAGAGTCCATGACGCACACCATCCTGTTTCCCCACCTCCAGTCTGGATATAGACGTTTACAGACATAAATTATAGGTATGCAACATGGCTCACATAAAGAAAGTATAGGATATCCACCAATCACCTCACATATGTGGTAATGATCTTGCCCCTGGCGGTCAGCAAATCCATGATTTGGAAAAAGCCATCTTTTCCAGCCAAGAAAACGGGGTGTTTCTATGAACCATCTCATTATGGCTGATGTTCCTGCACAAGAATGTGCTATTGCAGACAAAACTTGCCAAACGATAAACCAGGAGCGATTTGAGACATATGTGCTTGCTAATGCACTCACTGCTCCAATAAAAATACTAACCAGCATACAGCACCTGGAGTGCATCAGAGTAACGATTCCAATAATAGCTGTAAAAAACATCTTAGAAATAATACTTATGAGACTGTCTTACCTCCAATAATATAACCCACTGATAAAAAAGTATATATGTGGTGAGTGAAGCAAACAAGCTGCCAATATCGAATGGCAGAGTACTTTGGCCCAATTGTTACATAAGCCAAGTAATCTGACGTAAAACCCCAATGGTAGCCAAGGTTTAGTGCATTGCAGTCTCTTCTACAATAGAGAACACCACTTGGGCAGTGCCACTTTGGAGGATAAAAAGTGATGTAAACGGTGAAATCATAGAAAGTAATGGCCCAAGTCATAATAATTGAAATAGGTAAGAAGAACCACCACAATGGAACGCTCTTACTAGTAATTTCCATACCCAACCTTTCAAGCCCTAATAGATCCTATGCAAAAAGAAAGGAATTTAAGCACAAGAATCCCTTTACCGGGGTTAAACAGTTCCACAACGATTGAAGCAAAATCGATGTCAAGAGAACGTGGAAACACTCACCGGACAGTGTCTTGTAGAAACAATGCTCCGGCTTGGAAGCAAGGAAAATCTTCTGAGTGAAATCAAAGACGAGGATCCCGCACACCAAAACCTGGCGATATCGTGAGCAGCTGGCACGGCATCGTCGTCCCACACAGCTGAATTCGCCATCCAGAAATTCACAGCCTCTGTGAAGAAATATTGCTCAATCACAAGAATGCCAGCTCAGCTTAGAGCGGGACGTGAGGATTTGCTGAATACCGCGGGATTCCCAGTCGCGATGCAAGCGTCCATGGCGCTGGAGATTTAGAGTAGGGGAATATCCAAAGTAAACTGACGGAAAACTTGCAAGTGATCAACCTCATCACTTGCTTGAAGTTGATCTGCAATGTTGTATATGGCAAGGCTTTTTAGTGTATCTCGAGTGTTGATAAAGTTCTTCTGATGCCTCGTAACTCCATAGTCTATCATCAAGGTGATCGCGAGAGCGAGTGAATTTTTAACCCAGGTGCCAGGCCAAAACTCGACATCCATCATCCCGACAGTGCTTAAATTCCTTAAACTGATGGACGTGGGGAGAGAAGGTAAGATGTGAGAGAAGAGATATGAAGATGGTAATAATCCTCCGTACTCTCATGCGCTTATAGTACGTCCTAACAGGTCTGTTTCGAGGAGCTCTGGTCCGTTCCTGTTCGTCATCCGTTCCGTGCCACCTGACCTTGTATCTCCCAGTGTGCTTTCGGTTGCAGCATAGGCTGCCTGTCGGAGGAGACAAACTCCGGCGCAGGAAAAAACTCCGGGAGCTGGTCCGCAAAAGCTTGAGATCCGACACGTCGAAAACGTTATGTAGGTGCGACCCCGGTGGTAAGCCAACTTATAGGCGAGCTCGTTGATCTTTTCGAGTATCCTGAGTGGGCCGAAGAATCTGGGATGGAGCTGTGACGACACGAGGAGATTCCAACCGTTGCCCAATCAGCTGCTGCATCTTCCTGATGGCTTCCACTTGGTCACTGACGTCGTTTGATGAAGTGGGAGTTGTCATCAAGATCGGGGAAGCTACTGCACTTCCATAAAGCGCCTGGTATGGAGACATACCGATGGTTGAGTGCCCAGCAGTGTTGTAGGCAACACTGCTCCCGCTGAATGGTGGTACTTGGAACTCGAAAGGTCGGCGCCTAACTCCCTCCCAAGTCCCCCATCGACCTGGTCACTGCAGCTCCCAAGACTCGCAAGCTGTCGTCCATATCTTCCTGCCGATCGGATATGCACCTTATCATCTTCTCTTGTGCTGATAAAACATCAAGTCTAAACCTTGGTGAATCCCCTGAAATCGCCGCCTTCGGCCGCCTCTATGGTGCCGCCATTGCCCGCCTCACACCAAGGAAGAACAAGGGTATATAAATTCCCTCCCTCCCATTATCCACGACCAGTCCAGAGCACCAAAAACTGTGAAAGCGAAACGAAACATCCCGGCCGCTTTACCTGATAGCCGACCTCCAACGACTGGTCTCCTTCACGACCTCGAGCGTGTGTCCCAGACGAAGTGGCTACGATACCACTGTTATCGAGCAAGGGAGAGGGAAAAGAGATCCGAAGGAAAGCTCCACGCCGAGCATGAGATGGGGAGATGTGAGCGTGAGAGCGGTGAGGAAGGACTGCAGGGAGATAAGATGAGAAAGACAGTAATATACTCTTTCCCTCTGTTCCCGTTCTGATGCAGTTTTAAAAGTATCTTTATACAAACAGCTAACTGAAACTGAATTTCCCCTTTAACATCGAAAGCTTATCCAGTGCCTAAGGTGTCAAGTTTGCCCTGAAGAACTTAGCTTTCAGGAAATATGGAGCCATGATTTTTTTTTGTTTCTTCCTTGTTTTTCTTGAGGACCGAGCTAATGGTATTTTGAAAAACTCGATCAGTTTTTGTTCCTCATTCGTTTGCTTTTCTTCCATGCAGACGTTCCAAAGTTCTCACAATCGATCTTCAACACTAAACCATGGTGGAAACTCTTAATTTGCTTCCAACCAAAGACTTTAAATTTCTTTTCCAAATTTCGATGTTAAAGGGGAAATTCGTTTGTGAACTTTGAATAAAGATGCTTTTAAAATTGCATCAGAACACGTATAGACGGGGGAACAGAGGGAAAGAGTACGGAGGATATATTACTGTCTTTATCTCTCTGCAGTCCTTCCTCACCGTTCTCACGCTCACATCTCCCCATCCCATGCTCGGTGAGTAGCTGGAGCTTTCCTTCGGATTCTTGATTACTTGATTCTTTGTTTTTTTCTCATAGGCTGCCAGCTATCACAGCTACACTCACCTTGAGTTTAATGCATTCTTTGAGAGACTTTGTATGTACGGGTAAAGAAGTCAATGGTATGCAAGCCTCTGTTCATGCTTGTACTGAAATAGTAAAACAAAATTTTCTTGCTGCTTTCTGCAGTGACTCATACCTGGAGCAATAACACGGATTTCCCTGAAGCGACTGGTCTCCAAGACCGGTTTGTTAGAGAACTTATTGTAGAGGCTTTGTTCGCGAGCAATCTTTTTCAGCTGTTGTCGCTGGTTAACGCTCCCAGGACATGGGGATTAGCAGGATGGGCGCCCTCTATCAAGGACGGTACCGCAGGTAAGAGAGCTATTGCTAGAAACTTCTTGTGTCTTTGTTGATAATCCAGACACTGGATTGATTCGGATTATGCTGGATACGATTGCTCTGACAATTACTTGCGAGTCCAGGCACGTTAGTTTGCTGTTAGTCTACATGGCTTGTTGCTTTTTCTGTTCGTGTTGCCATCTGGCCTGCCTAAGAGCATGGCGTACATGGACTGCGAGCCAGAAAACATCGGAGACGTGACACGAGCGCTTGATGCAAAACACTGTAGCTTGCGGAGAGCAGATTGTCCTAGCAGCGCTTGACGTGGTTCGTGGACAATCTGATATACTTCAGAATCGGTGTTCCCAGTCACTTGCAAAAAGCAAGGAAGTAGCGAATTCTCTCAAATCCAAGTCATTTGCATTAGAAAAAGATACAAGAAGACTTTCTACTTGCTATTCTCGTAATAGAAGTAGAAGAAGA